ACATTCCGCCCGTCTTCATCTCTCCCTCTCCATCCCCGATGTATTCCCGACATTCCGCCCGTCTTCATCTCTCCCTCTCCATCCCCGATGTATTCCCGACACTCCGGGCGTCCGCCAGCCCCCATTTTTCATTTCAGCAATGCGAAAGGGGTGCTAGGGCTTTGGTGCGGGGAAAAATAATGGGAAAAACCTTTCTTTCTCCCCATTTGCAAGTGCCTCAAGCACTCTCCTTGGCAGCCCCGTGAGCTGGACCACGCTGGCATACAGGCGCGTTTTTCCCTACGGCATTATTTTAGGGACGACGGCTTGGATAACGAAAGCAAAAGGAAGCGGGCAGGGTCTACGGTTGGTACCGGACAGGGGAAAAAAGGAATAAGGGAGTTGGGGAGCGTGGGATGCAAAAGAAAGCGACGGTGGATGAGATGAGGAGGAAGTTTGGAGAGGCACAAGGACGGCTCAGCGCGAGGCCGAAGCATCTGGGCTATGTCGGGGGATGCCTGCCATTCCTCAGCCCGTGCCCACACGTCCGTCGTGGACCCGTCCACCCACCAGGAAGGGGGAAATTAAAACCAGCCCTTCCGACTGGAGCGAAAAGGAACAGAAACGAAGACGACGGTACGAAAAAGCGGCGAGCGGGGGATTAGGCTGAGCGCCCCGCGCGCGGCGGGAGGGGGCCAGGCAGCCATGTGGCTAGCTTTGCGCACGAAATCCTCATTAGGGGCTCGTTAAGGACATGAAAGCGGCTTTTCCTGCTTCCGGTCCCCAGCACCCCTGGGGCTGCTCGCGGCCGGTTATCTGCTCCGGGAGGAAAGGCAGCTCCAGGGTTGGCGTTAACGGCAGGGTTAGGGGAAGAAGATGATGACCCCCCCCTGCTCTGTGGGTGCCGAGCGCTGGTTGCTATCATGGAATCAAAATGGTTTGGGTGGGAAGGGAGCTTGAAGACCACCCAGTGCCACCCCCTGCCCTGGGCAGGGCCACCTCCCCCCAGCCCAGGTTGCTCCAAGCCCCGTCCAACCTGGCCTTGAACACCTCCAGGGATGGGGCAGCCACAGCTTCTCGGGGCAACCTGCCCCAGGGGCTCACCTCAATCTGCCCTCTCCCAGTTTGAAGCCATTCCCCGTTGTCCCATCACCCCATGCCCTTGTCAAAAGTCCCTCCCCAGCTCTCCTGGAGCCCCTTTAGGCACTGGAAGGGGCTCTCAGGTCTCCCCTTTTTCACCTTCTCTTCTCCAGGCTGAACCCCCCCAACTCTCCCAGCCTGTCCTCCCAGCCCTCGCAGCATTATCGCCGGCTTAGATTTGCTGACATACAGCTCTAGTGGAATTTATACATCAATCTGCTCCTGGATTGCACCTCCGGGACCTCCCGCTGCGGTGTCACCCAGCCCCGGCTGACGGCACCCCGGCGGCGGCAGCGCCGTTGCATCACCCTGGCCGAAGCCTCTCTCCGTGCCGCAGCAGCAGGACCGCGCTCCCAAGCCAAGGGGACGGTACCGCGCCAGGGTGACCCCGACATCCCCATGCTCAGGGAGGAGCAGACGGCTCAAGTTCGTTAATTCAAGACCCCACCGCAAGGAAAATCGGCTCCAAACACGAAAGGCATTAAAGCCCGTGAATCTCCAAACCACCTGGCTTATTTAAGCCGCTTCCTTCCTTCGACACCGACACACAATATGTAACGCCGAGATGACAGAACACCGTCTATCGCCATCCCCGACCCCGCCAATGCTCCTCACCCAAGCCAGAGTGAAGAACCGGAGGAGTGAAGTAAAAACCAGCTGTTTTTCTCCCCCCCCTTCTTGCCCCAAATCCGCCGATCTGGTGTGAATTTACGCAGGCATCTCCCAAAGAGGAGAGCAGATCCCTCCCGACCTTTCCCAGTCACCCCAGCTCCTTGCCCAACCCACGCGCCGAAATATGCAATATTCTCCTTAGAGCTTTGCTCCTTCCCTGAAGTTAAACGAGTGATTCCCAGCCAAGGGCTTTTTGGGGCCCAAAAAGCAACAACTCTGAATAACCCTACGTCCCCAGAAGCAGAAGGATTTAAACAATACGAGCCACCGCCCCCCTCTAAATCTACTACCGCTTTCTTCTGCGCGGTTTAACAAATTCTCCTATATTTCTCTGAAACCTACGATCCCTGGACAACTGAATGGAGATTTTACTGCACATGTGCCTCTGATTACAATATATTACCACTAATGATAATTGCCTGGATTATACTTATCTCTTTCTTTGGCTAATAAACTAGAAAAGACCACCAGTGAAGATGTAATAAAGTGCAGCTGTTGCAGCAAAAGCCTTTTTTTCTAGGTCAAAGCAAGTTTGGGAGAGGCTGGGGAAGGCTGTCTCTGCGAGGGGAAGCAATACCTAACTGGAAATGAGAAGAGCTCCTCCAGGCAGCTTTCATTAATCTGAAACTTTTCTCCTCGAAACGTCGCCGGGGTTTATCTGCCAGCAGGACAAGGGGAGGTGAGGCGCAAGCTCTGCATTTCTCTCCTGCATCTCATTAGCTTCCAAAGGGACCCTTGGGCTCCTCCGAAACGTTCCCGGCTGCACGACTCGGCCACGCGCGTACCTACGCTCGCGGAGAGTCGGAAAAAAGGGAAGGAAAGGAACATTTTTCGCTCGGCGCGGAGATGCAGCCTGGGCGAGCATGAAACGTAAGTTGTTTAAGAGCACGCAGCGACTGTTCGCAGGTGCCAAAGGGCAGGAAGGGGGGGAAAAAAAAAACCAACCCCACCATATCCAAGTCCAATGGAAATTTAGGAAGTTGGAGAGAATCGCCAAGACTGGAAAGCAGGCAGGACGTCGAAGTAAACACCCCAACGCTTAAGTACGGACCGGACCGATAACGGGCGAGCTGAGCGTTACACCTCGGGAGGCGAAACCTCCCGGCGAAAGCGCTCGCGGGCGCCGCGCCGGTGCCGAGGGGGAACAAACCGCCTGCCCCACCGTCCTGCAAAACTCCGCCGTTTCCCCAGTATTTCCCTACCAGCATTTCGCCTAGCTGCCTCCAACCCAAAGCGAGAGGAAGAGGCGGTTTTTTCCCCCCCCTTCTTGTACCGTTTGTGTTACGGCAGCGGCTACAGCAGCCCGAGCCGCACGGCGCACCAACGCAGAATACGACGTCGGCGACGTGGAAACTGCTTTATTGTCTTGGACCAAGAGCCCCGTACGCTGCCCAGGGTTTAAAACACAAGGCGAGGTTCGCAGGGAAAGGGATTATCTTTCATTTCATCAGCTAACACAAGTTGGGGGAGAAAAAAAAAAAAATAAAAAAAAAAACCCAACAAAAATCCATTTCAGAGACACAAGCCCTTCTTCCAATTTTAACAGAATGCTGGAAGAAAAAGTTAATGTATCTTTCATGAGGACAATCTAGATAATAAGCAACACAATTCCACAGCACAAGCCTGGGATTTTTTTCTATCTTTCTTTCTTTTTTTTCTTTTTTTTTCTTCTAAATAATCAAGAATAGACGACCAAGGTAAAACTTGAGTCACCAAACATCCCCCGGATAGAAACACAGTGTAACCTCATGCGCTAAGTGGTATACGAGATTTTACTTTCAGATTTGGGCAGAAACAACAACTTAAAAAAAAAAAAAAAAAACAAAAAAAAAAACAAAAACCCACAACCAAACCACCCTGTGTCAAACCTAAACTAAAATTGTTATTCAGCAATTTGCAACACTTACTGTCATATTAAAGTCATTTTATTTTCTTTTCGCTCGCTTGCTCTGTTCTGGTAACAAAATAGCGAATCTCAGGATTTCAGAAGGCATTTGGTACAGCAGCCGAAGCGCTCCTTAAATGTTTAGGGGGTACAGCCTGTGACACCGCTAACGGCTATTAACGCCGGTGGAAATTGTGCAGACGGAGGGGAATTGCACCAGATGAGACCGAGGTGACAAAATAGCCGCGGTGCCGAGGCATGGCTGAGTCCTGACGCACCGTCCGGCACCGGTTAGCAAGAACGGGGGGGGAAAATGTGGAAATCTGCTACCAGGACAATACCGTCAACAACTCCGGCTCTCGCTCTCCGATAAGGATTTCTTTCCACACCGGACACGGTGTGGAGCGAGGTCCGGCTCCGGCACGCTCCCTGCCACCTCTCCTCCCGCCAACCCGCCCGGTGGGGTGAGTATTTAGGTGTTTGAACAAAAGTTTCTTTCCTTTGGAAGTTTTCTAGCTTAAAAAAAAAGTAGGAGCTTGCTTTTAGGGAAAGTTCTTTCATATTTATAAATAATATATCCACGCGGGAAAGAAAGAGGCGTTACAGAGCTGTCGTAGCTGGACAGTCCGACCAGGCTTTTCCTGCAGAGGTTTGGTATGACTTTCTCCGGGGTCTGAGACATCCCGTTACCAGCCCGGGATGGGAGACGCCGGCGTTTTTCTGTCCGTACTTCCCACCTGCTCACTGTCCAGCTACGGCGGCTCTGTAACGCCTCCTTCTTTCCTGCGTGGATATATAATTTATAGATACGAAAGAACTTTCCCTAAAAGCAAGCTTCTACTTTTTTTTTAAGCTAGAAAACTTCCAAAGGAAAGAAACTTTTGTTCAAACACCTAAATACTCACTGCACCGGGCGGGTTGGCACTGTCCGTGCCTGCTGCCCGCGGGGGAGATTTTCCCCCTCTGGATGGAGCAAAGTGTTGGTAGTAACCAACACGCAAAGGGAGAGACGCTGGACGCTTTAATGCATTCAGCATCACTCATCTCAAGCGTTCTTTAAAGCACAGATAAAGACAGCCGGCAGGGTAAGACACAAGAGGTCTTCTCCCTCCCCATAGAGTACGGCCTCAGCCAAACCACCCCCCCTCTCCGTGCCCCAGCCGTAAAGCGAGGAAGATGCCATTTTGGCACAGGGACGTGAACTATTGCCTCTTTAGGAAGGGCTGATTTCTAACCTGACAACATCTCTCTCGATGATACACATCCCTAAAGTACACGGTTATGACAAACCCTCGATATGGCTCATAAGACAACGTTGGTACTTACTTTTTCAAAGGCTCTATGACTGTCTTTTGGATCTGATTCACCTGTTGAAAGCAAAAGGGATGATTATATGTCAGGCTTGTTGAAAAAGCCTGTTTGCACAGCGATACATGTTTGCACAGTGCCCACCATAGGATGATGTGGGCTTCCCAGCACAACCACAGTGCCCTTTAACCAAAAAAGAGCAAACTTCTCCCATGTGCTCGGGATGAGCTGCAATCCCCAGTACAACCAGTCGGAAGAAGAGCAGGGTCATAGAGAAACTCATCTGGGAAGCGTCTCGGGGATGACGACAAAAAGGGAAGGAGGATCTGTCTGGAAGGGCGAGACATCACCAGCACCCCTCAGCGTCCCCTTCTTCAGCCAAACCCACATTCACCTTCTCCTGGTTGAAAGAGTCCATCCTCTTCATCGCCGTGTCGAAGGCCGTGACCATCTCCAGAAAGCTGGGCTCCTGTTCACACAGCGGGTTGGACAGCAGGTCCGAAGAGATTTTGACAGCCGATTTGGACATGGCTGCGGGCAACGGGAGCGGAGGACATGCAAAGGAAAGCAGAGAGGGTCACGTCCCAGCGGCCGCCCGGTGGGACAGCCACCCATCGCCAGGGCCGGCTCCTGCATCCGTAAAGGGTGACTGCGGGTAAAAATCAGGGATTTAAGCCACCGAGGAGGGTTTAGCACAACTTTCCAGGAAGATATTCAACAGTGGTTGAGAGAAAAGAAAGGAAGAGCCACCAATTCATTCACGTAAACACCCAGAGAACTGTTTTTATATAAGTTAAGTCTGAAGCACTCCGATGTACGGCTTGTGATGTTGCCAGAAATAATACCAGACTAACAAAAGCACTGTTCTCTTAAAAAAAAATGTAGATGGGTTTTTTTACACGCCTTTTCTCGACAGACTATTAAGTGTCACTCTCAGTCTCACTACAGCTCTTCCACAATGAGAAAAATCACAGTCCATTAAGTCTTTCAAATGGCTTTACAAAAATATATATTTGAAGTGGATTTAGTGCTGGTGGAAAAGGACCAGACTGACAGGACTGGAAGACGAGTTTTTCTCTTTTACTCTCAAAATAGGCACTACACAGGCAGCAGAGACACAAGCTGGCTAAGCACTTTCCCTCAAAGAGCCTAAATTTTCTGCCTCTGGAGACCGACACCCCCCCCCCCCCAAGACAGGGGAAAGGGCAAAGGCTGAAGTCCCTTCAGACCCTGCGACCGTCACCACGAAATCCAGAAACACCACGTCACACGCTGACGGGCTTCAGTTCCTGCCTCGCCGAGCACTTTTGCTTGTTTTCCATCAGACACATCTCTCTTCCTATCCACACACTTGGTCTTCAAAGGGAAAATTAAATCCCTATGGCAGGACCACTACAAAAAAGCAAGAAAATAGCTAAGGTATAGAACGGAGAGAAAAAAAAAAAAAAAGATGAATGAAAAGGCAAGCATCAATATAAATGGGAATAAAGAAGAAAAAAGGAAAGTCCTGGGTACTAAAAAAAAATAAAAAGAGTTCTTTTTCGTCAGCACTGTTGCTGGAAGTTATTCCAGTTTAAGATCAGAAAGCCAGATGCTTTAGCCGTGCTACAGATGAGCTTTGGAAAGACTCCTACTGTACTCACTCAGATATTAAAAGTTAAAGTCATCTGAATAATGGGGCTTAAGATCATAAATCAAGGGGTTAAACATTCTGATTTAAAGGTTACACACAATTATACAGAGAGCTCAGAAGCTAAATAGCCGGGAAGCTCAATGCAGAACGAGACACTAACTACGGAATAACAAAGCTACCGTATCCGTCTATTATCCAAACATTAAGGGTTTAGGCATTTAAACCTTTAAACAGATGGGATATAATCCATATGTGTGACCACATCTGAGGAAGGATTTGTGCCAAAATGGGATGGAGTTAAGAACGGCAGAACTCCTTCAGCTGGAAGAAAAATTAGTTTCCCTTCATAAGGAGAGGATTGAAAGTGCGCTGTCGCGAGGAGAGCTGCGGCGAGCAGCGGGGTCATCCCAAGAGGCCAAAATCTGGGGCTTTTCAGGCATGTTCAGCCAGATTTTGGGCAAGGCACTTCCCCTCACCTGTACGGCTCTGAAAAAGCAGCCGCGGTGGGCTCTGCAGTTCCCAAGGCAGCTCTGCAGACCCCAGCAAATGCTGCGTCCCCGATGGCGCGCAGAGAGCCGGGACCTGGGGACGGCATCCCCTGGTCCCACCTCCATGTGCTCGGCGGTGAGCCCCGTCTTCAAACTCAACAGGGACACTGCTGATGTGGCAGGGGAGAGAAAGGAGGGAGAAAGGAGGGAGAAAGGAGGGAGAAAGGAGGGAGAAAGGAGGGAGAAAGGAGGGAGAAAGGAGGGAGAAGAAGAAGGGAGAGGAGGGAGAAAGGAGGGAGAAAGGAGGGAGAAAGGAGGGAGAAAGGAGGGAGAAAGGAGGGAGAAAGGAGGGAGAAAGGAGGGAGAAAGGAGGGAGAAAGGAGGGAGAAAGGAGGGAGAAAGGAGGGAGAAAGGAGGGAGAAAGGAGGGAGAAAGGAGGGAGAAAGGAGGGAGAAAGGAGGGAGAAAGGAGGGAGAAAGGAGGGAGAAAGGAGGGAGAAAGGAGGGAGAAAGGAGGGAGAAAGGAGGGAGAAAGGAGGGAGAAAGGAGGGAGAAAGGAGGGAGAAAGGAGGGAGAAAGGAGGGAGAAAGGAGGGAGAAAGGAGGGAGAAAGGAGGGAGAAAGGAGGGAGAAAGGAGGGAGAAAGGAGGGAGAAAGGAGGGAGAAAGGAGGGAGAAAGGAGGGAGAAAGGAGGGAGAAAGGAGGGAGAAAGAGAAGGGAGAAGAAGAAGGGAGAAGAAGAAGGGAGAAGAAGAAGGGAGAAGAAGAAGGGAGAAGAAGAAGGGAGAGAGAGAAGGGAGAGAGAGAAGGGAGAGAGAGAAGGGAGAGAGAGAAGGGAGAGAGAGAAGGGAGAGAGAGAAGGGAGAGAGAGAAGGGAGAGAGAGAAGGGAGAGAGAGAAGGGAGAGAGAGAAGGGAGAGAGAGAAGGGAGAGAGAGAAGGGAGAGAGAGAAGGGAGAAAGACGGGAAGGGAGAAAGACGGGAGAAAGACGGGAGAGGTGAGCAGAGGAAGAGGAGAGCATCGCCTGCCCCTTGGGGTGGGCTTCAGGAGGGTCTGCACTGCACATAAAGCATGTGGGACATGACTCCAGTTACAGAAGGTGACTTTAGAGAGTCGCTGCTTGTTTGTATTATGATAAAAGCAGCAGAGAACAGCCAGGCGCGCTCCAGAGAGCAAAACTGAGCCACGGTGATCCAGCACGTCACCTGCATCTCATTTCAAAAGCAGAGCTTTTGTCTCCAATTAAAGAACATCCTCCTGCTCCTTAAGATGATGTTTAGTTTGGAAAAGAGGGTGGGGAAGGGGCTTAGCGATCTTTAGGCGCAGTAGAGAGAGCGCTGCTAATAACCCGTGCCCTGTTCCCAGCCACGCTGCCGCAGCTGGCAGGGCAGCGGCTGAGCCTCGCAGGAACATTTTCGTGCAGACGGAGGAATCGGTGTCATTTTGAGCCGAGTCTTTTTTTTTTTTTGGCAGAAGGTGGAGACTCCGGCCACCAGGTCCAGTTTGCTTGGGAGTGTTTGGAGGCAGTGAATAATCAACCCCCCTCGGCACAGAGGAAGAAATAAGAGGTTCAGGAGGACACAACAACGCTGATACACCGCCATCCTCGTCGGATATCGGGGCTGGACGATGGCTGAGCAAGCACGGCTATCTCCTCTCGGGAATGGGCACTGCCAGGTGAGGACAGGAGTCCTCAGTGCTTGATCAGATCTACCTCCTTTTCCTTCAGCCATCCCTCACCAGACCACATTCAAAATCTTCCCTCACGCTCATGATTTCATGCCTTTAAATGAGAAATCAGATCTTACTGGATCTGGCCAAGGCTCATTTGTGACTCTGCCATGTAGCAGAACGGAAAAAGAAAGTCCTCCCACAGCTCCTCCGGGACTTGAAATGCTCCATATAAACAACGCCCACTGCAAGGGAGGGGAGGGGAATCCTTAACGAGGAAAAACTTACCAAGGATCCCTGACAATGACCAAAGTCCCCAGAAAGGGCAGTTTTCACCCTGGAAAAGAGTCCTGGCAGCGCCGGTTACTGGTGCCTTTCCCACCGCCCTCCCTGTGCAAGCTCACGCGGGTGCCAGCAGGGTTCTGGGAAGGGTGGGAGAGCGCAGGCAAGAGCCGGGATGTGTGTTTATGTCTGGCAATACGCGAGCGTGCACACACACACACACACACACACACACACACACACACACACACACACACACACACACACACACACACACACACACACACACACACACACACACACACACACACACACACACACACACACACACATACACACAGGTGAGAGAGCCTGTATGATGGGAAGCCCCAAATTTGCCAGCCCTCCCGCTGGCAAAGCGCCCGGTGGGGCTCCTTCCCACTCCCCCTGCCCCTCCGTGAACCGAACTCCCACGAGATGAGTGTTGGACCAGTCCAGCCCACACCTGTTTGCGCTGGTGCATCTGCTTTGGCTCCGGAGCTGTGGGGGCCCGGTACAAATAGGGACTACAAACCACATGCTGAGAAAAAACCATCTGTGTTTAAAACAGCTCTTTGCTGCATGTTTCTGCGGGCTGCCCTGCTCGGTTCAATAACCGGCATCCGCCGAATCCACTTCTCCGCATCGCTCCGTCTTCTCCTCTCTCCCGTGCTGGTTTAAAGCCTGCGCCACGTGGTGCGGTCGCACCGGTTTCCTACCAGAGAAGCTACGAACGGAGCGGGCAGGGGCTGCCCTGCCTTGGGAGGGGACACCTGAAGGGCAGATGTCACCCGGCGCGGGCAGCTGCGGCGCTACGCGCAGAGATGACTCGTTTATTGCTTCCTACATCGCCCACTGCCCCGAGGGTCAAGCCAAAGCAAGCAGGCACCGAAGGAACGAGCGGGGTTATTCCTGAATGAGAGCTGCCAGGTCAGCAGTTCCTCCGTGAAACGCGTACAGCGAGTCCTACGGGGGGCTCGGCAGACCCCCCCCAAAGCCTCGTCCCACCCTCCTTTGGCTTCACATAGCTTCAGACACCCTCGACTGAAGTAGGTGAATACGCATTGCTCAACACAATAGGCTCAGCTGGAGACCGCTCCTGCCTGTCTAACATGTGAACTGGAATAAATACTCCTCTTTTTCGGTTGCAGAAACCGAGGGGAAGAAAAGAAAGTGACTTGTCCAAGGCCACACAGCGAGCCGCAGCTCAGGAGATAGGGACTAAGCCCGTAACATACTTTCTGTTCCCTTGGTTGAGATACCGCTCGGCAGCCCTCATGCAGATGGCCTTGTAACTAAGCAAACTGAGTGGGACTGAGATCTAGATTTGTTTTCCAGACTTGTCACAGATTACTCATGTGATCTTGAGAAAGTCACTTCATCTCTTTGTGGCCAAGTTCACAGTCTATGTATCCTACAGTCACATACCCAAGTCTGCATCTGTGCTTTTCTTCATATCCTTCTGAAGTTTTTTGGTCTGATCTTCCAATCTGAAAGATGGAAGAACAAGGCAAAGTCTGAATCTTGGAAAGAAACAAACCGAAGTGTATCATACGTGCAACAAATCATTTACGGGCTGAATATGCTGGCTTCTGTTGTGAGTTAAAAATATCCAGGCAAGGCTCTACGAAGTTCAGCGCTGCCCAACCTTTTCTGGTTGTTTTCAGATGGTTTTCAACCTTTTCAGGTTGGTAATCTCTTATCCAAAGTCACATATTTTCTTAACTCCTCACACTCACCACAAATGGCAAAGCCAAATGCTTCCAGATGATAAGTGTGAGCTTATGTCACGCAGGCAGTATGGTAAAACCAATATTTGTCCTCGGAGGTGTTGAGCTGTTTGGTGACCCCGGAGTTTTCTGGCAATTTTACACTCTTTTACTTTAGAGCTGCCATAATCTGCACACCTCAACCCCACTGCAAATACTTCTTAGGACACCTTTGAACGCCCAGCCGCCAGAGAAACTCTGAAGAATTAGAAATTACAGGGCAGCGAGTGATTTGCTGGGAAGAGCATAACTGGCTAAAATTTCCTGGGAAGATGCAATAAGAGGGCACAACAGAGAAGAATGCTACTGTTCCTGTTTTACCGGTGTGGTTGATACTTACTGCTGAAGCTTTCCATATTCCCTTTCAAAGTCTCTCTCCACCTGTGGAAAGAAGAGATGGAAATCAGTTCAAAGCCACTGCGGCAGAGCCTGGAGTGGTAACTACCTCTGCAGGGAAACCTGTCCTCAGGAAATGCCAACGTGAACCCAGGGAAGCGCAGGCTGCGGCTATAATGGGAGTTACGCTTCAAAAGTAAATGAAGTCTTGGGTTTTGGTTTGGTTTTGTTTTTTTTTTTTTTTTTTTTTTTTTTTTTTTTTTTTTTTTTCCTCCAGACTCTCTTAGAGCAAAAGACACCGCCACCAACTGCGTCAGCTCATTCCAAGGATGTGCTCCAGCGCATGAATTGGAAGCTGACGGAGTAAATGGGAATGCCTTTAAAAGCAGAGAGATCGCAACTTAGCACGCACCGACACAGGCGCCCACAGCTCAGCTCGGTGCCGGCGGGGGACGAGCCCGCTTTCTCTTCCAGAGTCTCTTCCAGAGCCTTCTCTTCCAGCAGCGCGCTGCAAAGGAGCCCTGCGGTGGCTCTGCCCGTGCCTGGCTGCCAGACCCCCCCCCGGCCGCTCTCTCCTTCCCCATCCTCAACAGGATGGGCTTTTTCTCCCCCCAAACCCCTCAAGCCATCACTGAGCCCTCCAGTCTCCGTATTATTCGCCCCCTCGATACTCTCCTTATTCCCGCAACAGCTCCCTTCCAGGGAATACTTCGCTCGCAGCAGCGGTCCGAGCGGACTGCGGCACCTCGCAAAGGGAGGAGAAACAACCTGCGCTGGCGAAGAGCGCAGAGCTAAAGAACAGCCTTCTCCTGATGCTACATCAATGACTGCTTCCTCCTACTTGCTATCTGGCAGCAAATCTCCAGTGATACGAGATATTTTAAGGAACTTTCCTTCCATGCTGACTGTTTTAACACACGCTTAAACATTCATTCCACACCTCGGCGACCAAATAAGCAAATGGATTTCAATTGACCAGCCAAGAGTAAATACATGCGCTTTTGTTGTCATGGGATCAAAACTGGGTTCATTTGTGTTGTCAAGCTACCACGCTATTAAGAAAACGCTAAGTGTTGCAAGCAGCCAGGACTAGAAGGATCCAAAGGTTTGTTCCAAACCTTCACGCCGTCCTCCAGATTTCAAACCCAGGCTCGATGTAACAGCACTACGTGAAACCAGAACGCTTAACAGGGACGTTTCAATCAAAATCGCCATTAAAATACCAGTATTTTAAGACGGAGCCTGGTAAACCCAGTTTTCTTGAAACCTCCTTTCCTAAATCTCTATTTTGGTCTGCCTTTTCAGCCACGCTTGAACCCCGCAGCGACGCCAGCAGCCCCATCCGAAGGCAGCCGGTGCCCGGCTGCAGCGAGCGTGCCGAATTTCATCCCCCATCCCCGGCGGACAGCTGTCCACACCATCAGCTCCCACCATCCGGGGGATGCGTGCTGGCTCTCCCTGCCGACGAAAAACCCTCCGCCCAGCTCCGACTGCCTTTCGCGCTGCTAAAAATGGGAGCTGGAGAAACGGGCACGGAGCAGTGTGGGGGCAGCTCACACGACTTGTGCCCGGTTCACGGTTCTGCAGAAATCCGCAGCAGCTGGTGCCTGGAGGTCAGGTAACCGGCACATAGTAAAGAAAAAAAAAATAAAAAATAAATACATCACCCTCCGTTTCTATGGCTGTTCCGGCTGCTAAAATAACCGGGGAGTATTGCACTCTATTTATACGCCTTATGTGTGAATTGTTTTGGTTGCAAAACCAGAGAGGGTCGGGCACGACTCAAAAATATGTCCTTTGAAGGCTGGTGGTATCGGCGCCCTGGCGTGGAGCTCCGGCGCTCTCCGCCTTCGGGAGGATCTTCTTTTTGTCTGCTCAGCAACCAGTTCCTCCAAGAACCGGAGGGTTTGGCCTCGAAATTAAACTACCTGCAACGATCCGCGGTATCCGCCCCTTCCCTTTTGCTGTTCGATTCCCCCCGTTACTGTGCAATGAGTGGAGATGAGCAAAAGCATCGTCACCTAAGGCAGAACTCCCCCAACCCTGCGACCCTCCGAATGATGTGAACCCCCAAATCTTCCCAAGCTTCCCCGAAACACCCAACCCCGCTTAGCCCGTGTGCTTTCTATGTTTATGATGGAGGTGAATCTACGAGGCGGCACTTCAGCCTGACTCACATCTCCAGTGCCATCTATGCAGCGACAGCTGCCCAAGGATTGCTCTTATTTTTCACGCCCACAGTAGCAACTGGCTACCAGTCATCGCAGCCCGCAGGCTGGTGGAGCCCTCCCAGTCATCCGCCGCTCTCGTTTGCATCGCGAGAGCCCGGATCCACGACGAGGAGCAGGGCCCCCCGTGCAGCGGGCAGAGAAGATGCTGCTCTCACGCGCTCCCACCGTGCAGATCCACAGGCGGCGGCGAGCGGCGGATCAGAGGCGTGCGAGGAGGACAAGCCGAGAGCAAGCCAAGCGCGTTTTGCAGAGTACACAGTAATTCCCGCTCCCAGAAGCGATCGTCAACGGCCGCACGCACCCGACACTTACGGCAAAAGGCTACGGATAGGATTATCATGTTAAGAGTAACGAGAAGTACAGGCAAGAAAATTACAATATCCCGAAGGGAAGTTCCCGTAATATTAAAATAATCCCACTTCTCGGCAGCCTCTCTGGAAACTCAAAATCAAAACGTATTGAACGCTTTTTCTTCTAGGCATACGGGCTAGTTAATGCAAGATCGCACGTCTCTGGGTTTTTATTTAAATCTACATAAAGAACGAGGAGTTCTTAAAAGCATTGAAATAAAACAACGTTCTTCTTTTTCACCCAGTTTTTGGGGGTTTTTTGTTTGCAAACACTGGGCCTTCCACCTGCGATAACATCCCTCCCGCTTTAAGGGCAATATCATAATCGACACCATGGTTACAAGGCAACGAAGCAAGACCAAAGCCAACACTACAAAGAGATGGAAATAAGGGACTGTGATGAACCTTCTTATCCCCCTGAGGTTAATTTCTTTTCCTGGAGGAGGAGGATGAGCTGATTTCTACATGTTCCAGTGGTCTCAGCCTCTTCGTGGGTCTTGGGAAAAAGAGGAAAGCGTACGCTTCCTCCTCCCTCCTCTCCAAAAAAAAAATAAAAGAAACCCTTATAATTAGGCCAGAAATTCTGCTATAACCTGGAACTTCTGCTGAGCTTTTGCCATCCCATCAAGCAAGAGGAGATTCGAGGCAAGTAACGTGGGTGAACGCTCGCTCTGGCGTCTGAGAGCGGAGCCCTGAGCCGAAGCAAGGCTGCAGCGTGCGGCTGTACCCGGGGTTTCACGGGCTTCACCGCCCCGCGAGCTCTCCAAACACCCGCCCAGCAAGGAAGTTTCAAGACACGCTGCTTAGGCGGCAGGCTAAAAGGGAAAAAGGATCCACCTCTGAACCGCGGAGACTGGTAACATCCCGCTGAAGACTTAAGGAAGAGAGCGAAAATGAGTATAATTCTTTAACCGGCGCCACTTGATTTCACCCCACCGTTTCTGCGCCATTTACTGCGTTAATTCGGGATTTCCAGCTCGCTGGTGGAGCCCGATGGAAAGGCGCTGCCGGTCGGCAGCCGCAGTGGAATCCTCCTGCTCACGGAGCTCCTCCGTCCGACATCCCTGGGGAAGGCAGAGCTGCGGGGATGAGTCAAGGAAGGGAGGTTTGGCAGACGTGCGGGCCCACAGCTCAGGTCTCCGCTCCCTGCCAAGCTGACTCACCCGAGGTTAGCCAGCGAGGAGGAGGAAGGCGAACCATCTGAGTCAGCCCAGGCCAGAGTGCTGCCGAGGCAGGGAGGGAGGAAAGGGTAAAACCTGGGTGAGGCGAAGGGGCTTGTGCGCTGGGTTGCCTTGGCCCAAGAGGGGATGAGAGCTGGTGGGCTCCTCCAGCCTCCCACCCGGCTCTGCGCCCCGTGGGGACGCGCGGCCGGCTCTTCTTCCCGGCTACCTGCCGGCTCGGATAACCCAAGCCCCGGTGAAGAGCAGGGTACAACCTCGGGGTGACGCGGATGAACTTCAGCGAGCCGGAGCTGCAGGAGAGCTCGGAAGACAACCGCAGCTCTGGTTCCAGCGTAACCTCTGCTCGGACCGAAGTTGTCCTGGGGGAGGGAAGAACATCTCCGCCGTAAGAGGCTTCATCGCCGCATCGGATTTGAGCAATAAACATTCTGCAGAGAGATATAATTCTAACAGGTTTAACTCCTATCACTGGGCATTAGTTTAATTGGGCTGTGTTACTGTGTCCTCTGCGGCTCCGCTGACAGCAGGTCCTTCTCTGCGCATTAGATCCTCCCACCCGGCTCCCGGCCTCTCGGCAAGCCCGGTGACAGCTGCTCTTTTCAGGGGAGAGGAGGGGAGAGATTACGCCGTCTGGAATTGGATTTGCCCAGGTTAAGGTGGAAACAAAGCAGAGGCATGTCTGGGGGGCGGGAGATCACTTCAGTTCACCAGCCGATATTTTCTACGGGGTTTTTCCTTCTACCTGAAGAGCTAAACTGCGGCTGACACCATGCCCTTCTTCAAAGGATCAGAAGCGAGTGGGCATAGGGAGTCATGACTAATTCCCTCCGCAGCCCCGGCAAATTGCTTTTCAGTACTACTGCCGGCCTAGATTTGACACCGGCCCCAGCATTGTTTCATCAAGAAAAGACAAAAAGGCTCGCTGGCGAGCGAAGCCTCTCTCGGCAAAGCGATTCTCCCCTCTCCTGCGCTGGAGTCACACGCCTCACGGCGAGCCAAATAAGTTAGATCCTAACAAACGCTTGCTTTTTTTTTTCTCCTTTTCTTCCTCCTTCCCCCCCCTCCTCCCCCCTCCTCTTTTGTGGTCCAATCTCTGTGAGTGGGAGATCCTCTACCCGCAACCACTTCCCTTCTGATCGGCTTGGGATGCAGCTCTGGAGATGCCCCACCTTCCCGCTTCCTGCAGCGGGCTCCAGAGGCCAACATCTGGAATATCACAGACCTCGGCTGCTACCGCTGTTCCCAAAAAGCCCGCACAGATGGTGCGTCGCAGCCTGCAACTGGGAGGTGAAGTTGGGGGCCTCGAGCTCGCTAAAGCTACAAAGCAGCCCCGACGCTTCCCCAGCACGATGCCGAACGCTTCGCTCCCAGGGGAGATCGGTGGTTTCCTGCCGTTTGTTCTTCTTTGAAGAGCTGCACTTTACACTTACTGTGAGGTTGCGGAGCTTTGGGCTTCCTGTTTTCTGCTTTCCACGTTATCTGCTGCCTGGAGAGGATCAGCATCATCGTCAACACACGGCAAGCGGAAGCCATTTAAAAAAATCGGCATCCGACTCCGAGATACTGAGCCGTCGACGCAAAAAACTTGTTCTTCGTCTTGGGGGAGCTGAGGAAGAGGGGGAAGGAAGGAAGAAAGGAAAGAAGGAAGGGAGGAAGGAAAGGGAAAAGGCCTGGAAACGCTCATGCTGCTGAATGAACCTCTGCCTGCCGGATATTCTGAGCTGTTCTATTTAATACACAGACACACACATATATATATATATAAAAGCGATGCCTGCCAACTGCCTCGGAACAGCACATACCAGCAGCTCAGGGGAAGGCAAGCTCTCAAAGGTGCGACCGTTCATCTGCACCGAGCCCAAGCTCCTGCCGCAGCTCGGGGATGGCCGATTTCAGCAGCACGGCACAGGGGAGACGGGGGTCTTTCAGACAAACCTCTCGCAACACCGAACGCAGCAAGAGCAGAGGGAAATCGGCAAGCGCTGGTGAGAGAGAAAATATAGTCAACTTGGATGTGAGAACGAGTGGGATGGAGATGTCCAAGAAAAGCGGTCAGGACACCCAGAGCCGCAGAGCAGTTGGTTCTTGCAACAGCCTGGAAGAACACCGGTGTTGGAAACAGCGGGGAAGAGGACGAGAGGCAAAATCTCGTGGAGCAGAGCAATGTGGGGTCTCCCGAACCGAACGGGAATGGGTGTGAAGACTTGAGGCTGGTGGGCAACCTTTCCCGGGGCACCGCAGGCAGCGGCACCAGCCCCTGGAAAAAGGGCAGCCGAAGAGACGCAAAACCCACTGAAGGATTTTATCAGTCCTTGTCTTCATCGCCTGCCTGGCTTAAATTTTGTACCGACAGTTTGGAGCCGTTACAGAAAATTGCTGCTCCACGGCAGCAGACAACTACCAAATCCTTTAAAATAAACCACGACAATCAAGCCGTAAGGGGAGTGGCAGAATTAGCCCTCTGTCTCCAGGGGAAAATGTCATGTCCCAAGGAGAAACCCCCGTAAACACGAGTGCCCACGCATCCTGAGGAATTAGCTGCGCTGAGTGTCCCAGAGAGGAAGGATCAGAGATGTTCGTCTGTTCAAGGGATTAGGTCACCAATGCCGTTACAAAGACAAGGTCTCCACCGCGCTCGCTGTCGGGGTACTTCTTTTAGAGCAGGTATGCAGGTTAGTTTTCAGGGACGGCTACTGTGAGGTCCCACAGCTTTTTTTGCACGGGACAAAGGCAAAGACCATCTGCTTAAGGAGGGAAAATACCACAGCCAGCTGCAAGCAACAGCACTTGGGATAGGAGTCTCAAATACACGAGAATACAAAATGCTTTTTTAATTTGCTTTTAAAGCAAATGCTGTGCAGCACAAATTAATTCACGCCCGAGCACTAAGCATCTCAGCTTATAAGCCTTTCTTTGGAAACAGTTATATTCAGCGATCTGAACCACTCCTCCTCCTCCATCTGCTCAGAAAGGATGAACAAACAAACCAGTGCTGAAAGAAGGAAGGAAGGAAGGAAGCCCGTTCAGCCATCTCCGAGGAAAACTGTGCCAGACCAAAAGAGCTCTTCCCCTCACCGCCCCCCCCCCCAAAAAAAAAACAAAAAAAAAAAAAACCCTAGAAAAAAGAAGCGAAACAGATCCCAAACCAAAATACTCTCCCCGGTTGGGGCTCCCCCTCACTCCTCGCACGAGGAACCGAGCGCTGGTCACACGCGGCAACAGGTTCTGCTCGCTCACATCTCCCTCCCACGCGCGCGCACACGCACACGCTCGCAAAATGGGACGAGTCAAAGTGCCGGCTTGACTCATCAGCCACATGATCAAAGGCTGGATCTAAAAAGGGGGAACTGGTTTACTCACTGTCTTGGGTACAATCTGTTTCTTGGGCTGCCCGATCTTGAACGGTATCCTGGAAAAAGAGAGAAGAGGGAACGTGTAAGCAAGCGATGCTGGCCTCAAACAGCCCAGCCCCACGCGTCTCGTCCTCGGTGATGGGGTTTGGGGGGAGCAGGGCTTGTCCCAGGGCGGCAGCACCCCTTTTCGTGCAGCGTGCTCCCCCTCCGAGAGCCGGTGTCTCCCCCGAAGGTCAGCACCTCCAGCTCCAGCCCCCCTCCCCCCCTCCCACCGTCCTAGTAAGGCAAATAAATGCAATGGATGCTCCAGGAGTTCCTTGGCAAAATAAGAGGCTGAAGAACACGCTATGTTTAAAAACAAATCAGAAGGGGAGGGGAAAAAAAAAAAAAGTAAAAAAAAAAAAAAACCCAACCAAAATAACAAACCCTGTAAATATTTAGAAAGAGGATATTAAAAAAAGTAACAACCCGAGTGTCTGGAGCTGTGAGCTGCTTCAAAGGCTTTCTCTGATACAACAGCTGTAGGAGCAGCTCACCTGCCAGCAGAACAGCCTTCATTCTTAAAATCTTTAATATGGTTGCTAGTAAAATCTGGGTTACCTGAATGATTTTCCCCACGCGAGCTAGCTCAAAGGTGAAGAGTACTCAAAATAAATTACACAACATATGTAAGGGTGGCTGGGTCAGATGGTTACAGCCATGCAGCCGCCCTGAAAATAATTGGATTTCTTTCACCTATCAGCATAATAAAAATCCGGGAATTCAACCGCTGTTTTCAATGTATTTAATTAAGTTAAAGAAGCGCTGCTTGGTTAAAGCATCTCATCCAAAACCTCTCTCTTTCTGCAGAAAACGTTGGGAGGTTTTGGATGAGATGCTTTAGCCAAGCAGCACCTCTAGAACTAAAAAGAAAAAATTAGTCTCCTTATGAAATAGGAGTATCTTTCCCCAGAGATGCCTATAGCTCACCGGTCGGCATCCCACCCCAAATCCGCACCAGGCACTTCCTGGGAAGGTACCCGAGTCCCCTCTTGGACCAGTCCAAATTCCCACACTGTTTCTTTCTGTTTCTCTGTTCTTTCTCATCAGTTTTACCTACGAGATCCCCCACACCGGCACCGTTATAACACCGCTCGATCGCACCACCGGAACCCCAGAGAACATTTTGATTAGCCTAAAATGATCTGCATCGATCTACTCGGCATTAGCCTCACCCTTTCTTTTAGTCAGTAACCGTCCCAAAGTCCCATTTTATTTCTTCTCGCGGTTCACCGCTATAATATTCTATACCGAAAGCAATGCTATGCCATTTTCTGCTTGCAAATTAAAGAAAACACGCTGGCAGAAAAACTATTTGACCCCCAACTCTAAAAGAGCTGGAAGAACAGTATGTCTTAAAGGCCAGAAGACGAAAAGCAAGGATTACTGATTTATTGCCGCAAACCCCCAGCTACGAGCGAGGCCACGCGATGGGAGAAAGCGCTTGCGCCCAAGCGATGCGCCATCCACCCGGACGAAGCAAAACCAAGATTATCCGCCGACCCGATCCCTGCCGGCCCCGCTCCTGCCCAGCTTTGCCGCTGTTTTCAAACCAACGGTGTAATTAACCACCGGTAATAAGCCGGGGCTGCAACCCGCGCGTACCTCCCGAGCGGCTCAGGGAGCACAAGCCAACCTGAGTCACCAGGTTTAAATTTAAATTTTTCTGGAGAACTTCCTGTTTATGGTTCTCCGGTCCGACCGATATAATTTTAGGTTGTTAACCCTTTCCAGCTCTTGCGGCAAGCCCGGCAGCCGTGAATCACACTTCTTTTATAAACAAACACTCGTCTGGTATATAATTACCCTGTCAATAACTGGGTGTGTGGTGCCTTACAGGAAAAAAAGCCAAAAAAAAAAAAAACAAGATGATTTTTTTCATTGTGTTTTCTTACATGGGTCAAATATAAACTCAAATGAGGCACCTCCCGTACTCTCGCAGGCACAGGCTGTCCCATCCGCAGCCAGGTGCCATCACTCGATGTTTTTGGAAGTGATGGCATCGACCTATCTCGGTGGAAGGAGGAGGAAAAAGATGTGGTCTTTACCCAGAGGAGTGAGTTACCCCAAGAAAAACCAGCTCGCCCGACGAGCCACGGCGGCTGCTGGGCAACCTCCGGCAGCGTCGGGGCAAGCGCAGGGTTCAAGCTGGAGCTAGGCTGGTTCCTAGCGGGTAAGCACAATTAAAAAGGTGATTAAAGCATTACCTGCGCACAACCTTCCCATCTCCCTTGTCTGGCCAACCTTGCCGAGGAGGGTTATTCAGAGAAGCAATCCCGACCATCGCTCGCTGACAAGCCGGGTTAAATCAAGGCGATTCTGCTAATAAAAGAGGGATGAGGGGAATGGGCAGGGCAAAGCCGTGAATCGGGGATGGGTTGGGTACCACCGAGGCGGCAGCGCAGGCAGCAGCCGAGGGGAAGGCAGCGGGAAGCGCAGGGGGTTCCGTCCCGTCCCGTCCCATCCCGTCCCCCATCTCCGCTGCACTGCAGAGGGGAAAAGGAAAAAAAAAAAAATAAATCCCAGTTACTTTCTTCCACAACAAAAGAAAGTCACTGGAGCACTGCACAACGCCGCAAATACACTTTGAAGCAGTAAATATCTCTATTAGCATCGTGATGCCAGTTGGCTAATTATGTCTGTCTCGGTAAAACCTCTAAAAAATAACCCCGTGCAAGTAATGTCTCTACACCAATTTTTTGTTGTTGTTGTCGTTGCTATTTTACAATTTGAGATAATCTTCCTGGTTTCTGAATCTTCGCCTTTTAATAGGGTTCGGTGAGAAGGTGCGGGGGGAAAGAAAAAAGACGCAAAAGCAGGAACAAAAGCAGTAAGGAATTAAAAAAGGATGAGAGGTACGGATCTTATCCGAGCTTTTAAAACAAACACCCCGTGCTTTGAAACGCGACGGGGAGCTGCTGCCGGCAATGAGGATTTTTGCCCCTCCGTGAATCAGCGAAATTGGGGGGGACACACAACACGTGCCTGATACAGCAGCGTTACAACCATTTTTCTTAAATTAAGAGCCACTGGGTGTTTGATTGTGTTTAGAAAACATACGATGGGCATAATGCAAATAAGTTGGAGATGGATCGCTATCTTTTATTGCCATGGATTACCGGCGTGGCACGGTTATCACCGTTACCCTAAAAGCCGAGCACGGGTCTATATACACCGAAGAAAAACCAGAATCGGTGCATTTTTTTTTCGATCTCTCATTTCTGCTGAGCGAGAGAAAGCTGGGGTTGTGTTTGGGGTGTGAAATCCCTTGAAATCCCGTTCCTGAAGAGCGCGAGCGCGCTGAGTCACAGCCGGAGCGTTCCCACCCCGGTCCCCCCCCGTGCCGCGGGGCTGGGGGAGCATCCCGGCCCCTGGCCCGAATGGGCCACCCGCACCCCTCCGGGGAGGTCACCGGGAGTTTGGGAAAGCGGTGGGGTTCAGCTGGGAGGGAGGAGGGTGAAACACTGCAGGGAGGAGGTGGGAAAAGCTTAAAGTAGGAAAAAAAGTGTGGGTGGAGAGAATCCTGCAAGCTTCTACTCGGGGATGCTCAGGAACCCCAGGGAGGGGAAGGTGGGAGAAGCTGTGGCTAATTTTCTCTGAAGTTTCCCCAGCAATGTCATATATTTACTTGGCTTTTCCATGTGCAAACCCAGGGCCACACACCAAAGCAGCTAATTCTCCTCTGGATGCACAGGAGAGTTGCAAACAAACCTCGCAGGCAGGGGGGGAATACAGCTCAATGAGGTCTGCGGGGAGCTGGAGTTTAAAACATGTAGCTCCCCCTCCCACTCTCCGCCAGTCCCCTGAAACGAAGGCACGCAGGAATTGCCGGCGTGAATCAGACTAAATCATTGCTAATTTCGGGAGGCGATGGTCCTTTTGCAGCGTTGGACCGAGCAGGACATCAAACCTTGGCTCCATCCTCAGCCCAGAGCAGGCGGCGGGGAGGTTGGGGAGCCCAGCCAGCGTTTGGAGGGTGCGCAGGGGATAAATAACGGGTGGCTGAGACCTTTTTTACCCCCGTAGCACATCACAGAACATCGCTTCACAACCCCTAATCGGGTCCCAGAAGACCCCTCGCAGATAAGCACCAAGCGTTGGCACCCACAGCTGATAAGCCGCTGGCCCTGGGGATGCCGAGCCCAACCGCTCGCTGCCGAACCGGGGGCTGGGGAGGGAAGGAAGGACACGGACAGACGGACGGACGCACAGCACGGGAGGGAAGGGGCAGGGAGAGGTGAAGCCGGGGCTACTGGGCTCGCTCGCACCGCGTTTTGGAGGTTAATCACCCAGACGCTCAGGAGAAGCGACGCCGAGTCTCTGGCGACCGCGCACCATCCAAATCACCATTTCTGCCACGGGCAGCGGTGGACACGGGCGGCGTTTGCCAGGGACCCGCGGGTCTAAACGTGGTGTGAAGCAGTGGTGACGAGCGGTTTTTAATCGGTAACACCACCACCGTCAGACCACCGACTAAACTCGTGTTTTGTGACAAGCGCCTCCTCCCCGTGGAAAGTTTCAGGGGTTTGGGGTTGTTTTGTGGGTTTTTTTTCTCCCATCGAAACCCCAAGTGCCAGCGAGCCGGCGCTGCCTGGATTTCCGCCAGAGCTTCTCACTCTTTGAATTTCCACCAAAAATCTCAATCCTTTCACTGGAAAGAAACCTCTCTCTGCCTGAAGCCAGGAGGATGACATCCAGCCTCCCGTGATGCGTGACCCCAACCCATCGAGGCCCGTCTTCCCAAAGATTTTAGCACGTGGCGTGCCGAGGGCTTCTATAAAACCATCCGTTTATACCCGATGGCCCTAAGCCACCCCAGAAATTCCCCCTGCGAGACTCAGGGACCCTTCCCCAAGCCCCGCTCTGCTGGGTAGCCAGTCCTTCCCTTCGTCCGGGTCGTGTCAAGCTCCTCCGTCGGGAGAGGACTCGGCTGGCGGTGTGCTTGCAGCCAGGAGACCTGCCTGTTCTCAGGATCGGCTGCTATCCAGGAGAGATCAAAGCGTTCCTGCAAACATTAAGAGGAAGATCGGGGAGCATCCGAGGCAGGATGCGAACGTGGAGGTTAATAACTTCTACTTTCTCATTACCGTTATTGAGCGAGCTTTCCGTGAGGCGCTATGGGAAAGGCAGGGCACCCTGGAAGTTCAAGGGCAGCTGCGACCACCATCAGTACGAAGCAGGAGTAATTATCTCATTAGCGTTCCTGAGTCCTAACAAGCGCTGAAGGCAGCCTGCACAGGTCCCGAGGAGAGGCAAGGCTGACGGGGCGCACGTGGAAACCAAGCCTGGGCACCCGGACCACGGGTCCCACAACTTCGGGCTTCCTAAAAACCACCAAAAGCTGCAAATCCGTGGCCGCGTGGGCTGCCCCAGTGCCGGGGAGGAGGGGATCCCAGCACTGCCCAGGTGAGAAAGGCACGAAGGCAGACGCGGGTTAGACATTAATCTCGAGCATCGCTCCGGATGCCTCGCTGTACTACATCGTGTCCATGGAAACTGCATGCACCGTCCCACCCCGCTCCCCCCGCCTCGCAGGAACTCATAGCAACCGCTCCAAACACAGCGCGAAGGCAAAAAAAAAAAAAAAAAAAAGGAAAAAATTATTCAAACGGATCACAAACAGCTTATGTCGAGGGAGACTCTGCGCCAAATTCTGGTTTGGGTTTTCTCTTCGGTGGAGACGAGAGGGGAGGTCAGGGGGCGGCGAGGGGCAAGGGAGAGGAGCGATGTGGGGATACGGTCCCTCGGAAATCAACGCATCCATCCCCGCAGGCGCGCGCTCCCACCTGCCTTTCAACCCCATCCCTACGAACTTGGAGGCATTAAGCCACAAATGGATGTCAGGGCGAGCCCCTGCAGCAGGGGAGAAGGAAAAAAAGAAGATGTAAACATCCATTTTATGTTGGTTTAGGTCAGCGCGGGGAAACAAGGCACCTTCCTCAACTTCGGCAGCGGAGAGGTGCGCGCAGACAGCGAGCTCTTCGGAGCAGGGGCTGCTCGTGTCTCTGCATCTCGCGCAGAGCCAAGCGCGGTGTCAGTGTTAAGCAAATCAAAAATAATGTCAGAATCTACTCTCCCACCCATTCCAAGATGAGCATGAAAAAAATAATGATATTTTACTCACCCATCAAAAGAAAATTACTCACGCCAGGCGCGTGGGCGAGCAGAATTTTGCAAGGCTGTTTTAGGCCCTGACTATGCTACAAAAATATCCATTTTAAGCATGGTTGTGAAACACGGTTGTGGCTCAACTATAACACTGTTTTTTAGCTACCTGCACAAAGAAGGCGGAAAAAAAAAAAAAAATAATAATTAAGAAACAACCATGTGCTAATCGCACTCCGAGGACCACGCCGGGTGCTGCCATCTCCCACTGCGGCGGAGGATGCGGCGCGCGGCTCTTGCCGGCCGCTCCACCCCGGGAGATGCTGCGGCGAGCCCAGATGCCGGCGCTGCCCGGCTTGCAGAAGGGCACGCCGGTGTTTTCGGTTTCGCTGCGATAATACCTCTGGGATGCGCAAACCGCCTTGCACGGGTGCTACACGCGACAGCGCCGTGCAGGGAGGTGTTTGGGAGCTCACCGCTTTGGTATCCAGTTGCTTCATCCAATCTAATTTTATCCCGTCCTCATCTCCAAATCCCGGTATCGTTGAAACCCGGAGAGAAGGGGGAGCGTTGCCATTGACCACGATGGGAGTGCAATTTGGGCTCCGAAAAATATCAATATTGATTCACTGGAAAGAAAACGGCGCCTCGGTCTGTGTTTGCATCGCACCTGCCCAACGTGGTCACAGCACAGCTCCAAAACATGGAAAACAAAATGAATAACCAACAAACCTACTATTACACTACAGCCCAGCTACGCCTGCCACCGCCCCGCGCTCCCCTCTTCCCTTCCTAGCAGGCGTAAATCCACCCAGCCGACCGTCCCCTCTGAGACAGGCAACTCCAACTCCAGCCTCCTCTTCCTCGCCTCCGTCCCCAAATATTTCAGAAAACACGTTTCACATTAACTCTGGATTGCATCCGATAAAGATCTGGGGAGTTCAGTATCGCACAACCATACAGTTCCACTCCCAACTTTCAATCGATGCCAGCTCCTTAGTCCACTTAGCGAGCGCTCCCTGCCAAGAGGCATATGGTTTAGCAGTCCGGCGACGGCAACCCCCCATGCAGACCAATAATACGCTGCAGTGCAACACGAAAACACGTGCTTCGCACCGCCTCACTATCAACATTTGCTTAACATATTTTTTTCTCCCAGTAAATACCAGCTGTTGCAGCGGTGCCGAGAGGCAGCACTCGCAGAGCGAGCTGTCGCACTACTAAAACCCCCTTCCCGTTTGGAAAATCACCTGCAGGAGCTGGGAAAGCAAAAGAGGAGGTATTTGGGAGTCTGGTTATGAGCTGCAAGAACGTTTGGTTTTCATGCGGTTCCACGAACCTTAAAAAATCCTTTAGGTGGTCACAAATTAAACACTTGTGGAATTTGAGGGTGATGATACAGTAAAATCCATCACTCTGTTTCTCTTTATTTTTTTTAAAAGGAGCGATGGCCAAGGTAATCGCTGGAGTATTTTCCCCTCTCTCCTCCAAAACGTACGGCCGCAGGTGAGCGGTGAGGAAGAGGGGGATACGGACGTGTTCGAGAGACCCCAATCCACAGCGCAAAAGCCTAAAGGAAGCCACCGAGCTCCGCCAAGATTTAGAAAACATCTCATCTGTCCATGCAAGGCTGTTTCCCAAAACAAGCCTACTCCTGCTCTAAATAAAGCTTAGCCTAGAAAGACAGCACTGCCTCGTTGCCTAGGCGCACGAGTCAGGAATTCGGGGGTTTAATCCAGCTTCTGTCACCAGTGGGTTACGCTTTGCTCTCTGCAGCAAAGGTTTCCCACGTCGGTCGCTGTGTTCCCAGTCCTGACGCGGCGCAAGGACCCATCAAGCATTCGCAAAGAGCAAGGGAAAGTAAAGAATTAACCACGCACAACTCAACAAGGCGTTTACCATCCCGCTTGCAAACAGCCTCAGCGCCCTTTAATCTCTAGGGATCTCACACGGGCCTTGGCAAAAAATTAATTAAGGTAACGAGCGTACAGAAGCGAAACTGGAGGCAGAGATCTGCAGGACAGAGCTGAGGATGAAGCTCCATCCCTTTGACCGGCTGCGACAGCCGACCCCTACCAAAAAGGGGTTTTAACCAACGCCCCGGGTTTAACGGTGCCCGTTGCCGGAGAGAGACGCACGTGCAAACTAAGCAAACACACTCTGCTGCACAAAGCGACCTCCCGCCCCACCGGGCTGGAACAAAGCTCGTTCCCTCCGTGGGGACGGCAGAGCAGCAGCATCAGGGCCGGACATGTTTTACTGTGACGTTTGAGGAGCAGGGCACGACCCCAGCACACACGCCGGCATTTGTTACCGCTGCACGCTGCCGGGGGGAGCGTAACCCCTCGCTGCGGCGGGGAGGCGGACGTCACGCCGAGCCCGGCCCTGCCAGCCGGGCGCTGAACTTCGCCCCCTGCCCCGTGAATAGGGCAATTCATCCGAGGCGGGAATTATCAGCCAGGAGGGTCAGCTGGCCAGGCTGAACTGAGAGCGATTGTGTCTCCGACACGCTGCCGGGTACGAGCCCCTCGCGTTCACGCGTAAGCGGAGCCACGACACGCCGAAGGACTGACGCTGCTGGAGAAGAAAGAGGAGACTCAGATTTCAGCAGAGTACCAAGTCCCCCTCCCTCCTGCTGGCAATGACCTTTTATTCATCCCCAGCAAAAGGCAAAAACACTCAATCTCTCAGCAAAAGCCACGTGTATCGCAGGGAAGCTACCAGACGCCATACGCTGTGGTCCCCAGGCACAGCGTGGCTGGACGGACACTGGAAAGCGCAGAGGGGAAGCGTCACTCTGCACCCAAATTACTCCACATCCATCATGGGAAGAGAGTATTTATTTCTTACGTTTTCAGCTCTGCGGCCCCTCCCGGACTAAGAGAGCAGAGCAGGTCTCTTCCACCAGGTTGAGCTTTTCGAAGGCAGCCCCCAGGCCACGCTGCCCGCAGAGCATCGGAGGGCAGCCCGGGCAAAAGGCGGCTCCGAGACCCTCGTTACCCAACGCTGTCTATAATCATGGCTGCTCTGAGATGAGTAAAGCAGAACAAAAATTAACTCAGCGGATAAGTGTGTATTTTTAACCAAAAGGCCCCATTTTAATAGGTACCTGCGTGTGCGTCATTATATTGTTGAAGTATGTTTCCAGACCACAACTTCCCCCACTCGCAACCCAAAAAAATCTTCAGTTTTCACCACGTGCCTGCCCTGGCAAACTCAGCCTGAGAGCACCAGGCAAGGGGAAGGCCTTTTTCTCCTTAAACCACCACATCCTTCACCATTCGTAACGGCACTGGCTCTACGGGACCATCCAGGATGAAAAATCATGCATGGCAGTCAAGATCAATTTCTAATATAATTCGTCCAAATAAGCGGTGGGGAGATGCGCAGAAGCAGCACGCCAAAGACACCGTGGGATCCAAACTGAGCCTTTCACAAGTCTGATTGAAACACACGTGGGAACTTTCTTTTTTTTTAAAAAAAAAAAAACAAACAAAAAGCTTTACTTTAATGGCATTGAAGGCGGTTTTACAGTGTTTCAGCCCCATGGAGCTACCAGGCACTTTTGGTGACCCCCTGCACTGAACCCTTTGCTCCGCAGCAGCGTCCGGGCGCAGGGGGGTGGGAGGGCAGGGGGGTGAAGGGGCTCAGCCGGTGCTCCCCCATACTGGTTTTTAAAAAAAAAAAAACAAACAAAAAGCTTTACTTTAATGGCATTGAAGGCGGTTTTACAGTGTTTCAGCCCCATGGAGCTACCAGGCACTTTTGGTGACCCCCTGCACTGAACCCTTTGCTCCGCAGCAGCGTCCGGGCGCAGGGGGGTGGGAGGGCAGGGGGGTGAAGGGGCTCAGCCGGTGCTCCCCCATACTGGGGATGCAGGCCGGGCCTGCCATGGCCTGGGGAGGGGATGGGCAGGAGCTGCTGGGGGGCTCGGGCCTCA